AATTTTTTAACTTCCAGCAGATGTCAGCCAAGAGTCTCTGGAAGAACCTACACAAACCTTTACCCAAAATCCAACCAGAAGAGACACATTCTATTGTTCTGTCCTATGTGTTATAATTTATTATGGAAGATCTGCTATAAGATGAATATGGGGAGAATTTATACTCCCTGTCTAATAAATCAATTTCTGAGTGTAGATGAAAAAAACGTATTTAGAGTATGTACTTTTAAGCATCTAAATATATTCTTTTATTTATAATATTCAATTAAATACCAAGACATTTGATTCAGACCGGAAAAAAAAAATATATACCATCTACAAAACCCCCCAACTAATAAACATATCAGGTTTATATGAGAAAATGGATTTCTAAGTAAAGGAGAAGGAGATGCAGAATTTGCCCAGTTATTTACTAGGCAAGGCTAAGTAAGGCAGGAAGGTTTGGACGTCCTTGTTTACACCTCCTATATACAAATCCAGAAAGAAATCCCACAACCTCATTGGAATAATATATATTGGTTTTTTCCTCTATAATAGATATATATTTTTCTTTTCCTCTATATAGAGATACATTTTTCTTTTCCTCCGTTTGAAAGTGTTTGATTCATTAACCTCAGTGGACTCTTTTTTTTCACAGTAATAGGGACCTGAATCTGAAAATGAACCTCCAAGTTGGTTAACCTTAAGCATGAGTTTGCCCTCTCATATCAGTGTAAATTGCCTTGAATTTCACCTTCTTTCCTACTATAAGAATATACCTCAAAAAAAAGGCCCTTTTGCTACAACCAGTTCAGCTCCAACCTCTGGCCAGAGAACGTTTTGCCTTTGGGTGATGGCTCTTGAGGAATCAGCATGGGGAAGTTTTTGCAGGGCTACACTGAATCATTTAATCTCATGTCAAGCCAGCTCTTCCCTTTTCATGGCCAGCATCATCAGGGATTTTGTGTTTGTTTGTGTTCACCTCACGCCACCTCATCACGAGGGGAATGAAGGAGCGTGGCGATTTTGCAGCCTCACAAAACTCCCAGAAATGTGTATTTCTGCTTCCTTTAGCTGGGATGAGCTCCAATTTACCTGCACCCAAAAGGAGGAAGGGATGAACTTCACTGTCCATGACTCACCACAGCTGTCACTGGGTTTTAATATTCATCAGCTCAAAGCCAAGGCGTTACATTCCGGTGCCAGGTAGTGGCTGTTCCCCGAGGACCCAGAGCCGTGTCTAAGCAGGACTCCTTCCTGCACAGCTCTCAGCCATCCTCTGGAGAGCTGTCCTAGTTCAAACCTTCAGCTCACAAAGTTACAGTGTCATCCTCAAGACTCAATCACATTGTTTTTTAGCCCAGAATTTATTAATCTTACATGTGTTATCCTGCCAACACACGGCTGCACTGAAAGCATGGAGATATTTGGTGTTTCTTTAGGCGTTTGACTCATGCAAGGATATTATGTGAGAATATCAACTTTGACTAGAAAAACAGGTAACTTTAATCTTCATGGTTATAAAGTTTGAAATGTGCTGTGAATGTTTGGGCTTTTTTCAAGGATAAGATGCTCTAGGCTATGAAAAAGAGAAAGTTCTCCTGAGTGTTAAAAAGCATTTATGTTTTGTGTATCTGACTCATAACTTTCCAGCACTAGGGTTCCACCTGATGTCTCATTGCTTGAGCTCAGAATACTCAGCCATGCTGAGTCACACAGCTGCTGATTTACCAAGGTCTGTGGAACAATGGGAAAACATGGCTCCCAACATTTTAAAGTGGATAAAAGAGATAAGCCAGTGATCTTTTCTCCTTGTGCTGGCAGTTTAAAATTCAAGAGCTGTACTCATCCCTGTGTACCATAACTGCACACAGAACAAATATTTGGATGAATGTGGTCTGGATTTGGGGGAATTTCTCAGAAAAGGAAGAACAGAGGCAAGTGCTGAACTGTCACTCTGTAAGCCTTTGGGTATCTTGTAAAATGGACGTGCACATCACACCCAGTAAAATTTTTAAATCTATCACCAAAACACCTTGAGGCCACTTGATTACTCTAAGCCACACTTAAATTAAAAAGGTAATGCATAGCAAAAAGTCCTGGGCTGTTGACCATGATATATTTGCTATTTAGAGGTTTGTAATAGAAATTATAAGAAATCAGTATTGGGCCCTAATATCTTGTTAGTGACCCATTTGGAGCCTAAAACTTCACTTCTGACACAGAGATGGCAAATGCCACCCGAGTTAATACCCACTGATGTCACAGGAACTTTCCAATGCTAACAACTTATTAGCAGATCTTTTGACAAGTAAACTGACCTGTTACTTGTTTCTAATGGCAGTAGGCTCCATGGTAGTTTCTTTGCACGTTTTTTGGGGCTCCTTCAATAAATCTATTTTTGGCTCATGGTGGATTTAAGAAAAAAGATACTGTGTCTCCTCTGCTTGGAGCTGTAGTGTTACTGTATGCATACATACATATACACCTCACAAAAACTTCCGGTAGTGTTGTTTCAATCTGCAGTTTTGCTGCCACATTGTGGAGTTTTTCATGGATCTTCAAATGCAAAGCTCTCCTGAGAGTCATAAGTACTGCAGGGGAGCTGCAGGCAGAATTCCAGACTCAAAGCTACAGATTTCCTGTGCAGCATGAAGAGAAAACCCCTGGATTTCAAAGTGTGAGCTTTGGATTTCACAGATTGAAACCCCTGGATTTCAAACCTGAGCTCAGAGTACCACAATAAAGGAAGCAATAGTGCTGCATTATTAACTGTGGCTGGCCTAGGCAGGTCATTTCTGTAGCAGTTCTAGTGCAGATTTACTGCAGGAATCTGCTCAGCCTGTTAAAGATGGAAATGGGAAATCAACAGAATCTTTTCTGTAGAAAAAAAACCATTTGGTTGAGTGGTCTTTGTGAGGTTTGGTCGTACAAGAGGCCCTAATGACAGCACCAGCCCTACACTATGTGAGCCTAGAAAATAATGTACAGGAACCAGGACTACAGCTGTTGAGACAAGAAAGTCAGTGTAAGGGCCTGTATTTCTGCTTTTGACATCTGGTAGGTGTCTGCCTGCTGGCTGCAGAAACTCCAGGAGGACCAGAGATCAAGACACAAATACAGGTTGATTTCTAGTGATCCATTGGAAGTTGGCCATGATGCCATCTTCAACCCCTTTTTGAGCATTTACTAAGGAGAAAGGATTATTTGAATGTTTTTGGATTTTTCTATCCCATGCTGATTTAAAGAAGTTGCTAAACTACAAAGATTTCTTCACAAATAATGAAAATATTTTTGCAAACCCGTGATGTTTAATGTTCTCTTCAGGATCCTCACCCTCTTCTGGAAGCATTAACACTCACCTCTCCTATGACACTTGTTAGCAGCCTTAGTGCACCTGGGTCATGGACAAGAGAGTCTGTGTAAAACGAGCCAAGGTATTTCCTTGGATCCACCTTGTTATCCATCGCACACAAGTCAGGGCGCACGTTGAACCCATGGGAGATTCTCCCCACTGTGTATGGAAAAGCTCCACCTGCAAGAAGAAATTTTCAACAACAGCAGCTGAAAATAATGCAGGAGGGGGGAAAAAAAGCCACATCATTACCAAAGACCCACAAGTTTTACTGTCAGCCATTTAGAAAGTGCTCTGAACCAGCAGTTTTTAATTCCTTCCCCATCATTAACCTCTTTTTCTATTGCCCTCACTTCTTCACTACTGTGATGTCCAAATTCCTCCTGCTGCTTCTTTGTCCCTTTCCTTAAGTCATCTTCTGTCTCCCTTTCTTCCTTGTTTCCCTGAAAGGGTATTTTAGCAGTTCAAACAGTGGTTGAAACAGGCTGGACAGCGTTCATACAAGCAGCTGATCCTGCAGATCTGGGGTAATAGTGCTCAGCTGGTGGCAGCCTTAAAGTGCTTGAACCCTTGATCCTTAGCTGGCATAGCAGAAGATACAGCTGTAACGTGCTTAGTAAAGAACTGGAGTTTCACATGCCACATTACTCACCTCCATGTGCAAAGCAAACTTTCAGCTTAGGAAATTTTTCAAAAACTCCTCCCATAATCATGGAGCAAATGGCCATGGTTGTTTCTGTTGGCATGCCTGGGAACAAAATCAGTTCAGTTGTGTAAGAGTTTTACTTTTTCAATTTCCTCTTTGATTTTTGAATGTTACCTGAATTTTCTTCCATTAGCCTTGAGCCTACTGAAAAAAATAATAGTTACAGGGCAGTGCCATATTATTATGTGTTGGTGGATATTCCAACAGAGATTTGGGGTTCAGTTATGCCACGATGTCAGTTCCTACGATTTTGCCTCTCTCTCTCTCTCTCTCTCTCTTTGCCACTGGCTGAGTTGGATGGCCAGTGTTAGGAACATAACAGCAATTTAGGTTCTTACAGCAGGCCTCAGTTTCTGAGCTTACCCAACATATTTAGAATATCATGCCATCTAAATATCTAACTTCAGACATGCAGCCTAAAGTTAGGAACAGAGTTCCCCTCATCTCTGGTGCAAACAATACCCACCCAGCTCGAAAGGTTGTTTTTCATTAATGTTTTACTGTATGCTCAGATGCAAAGCCTTGTAAGTCTTTGTAAGAAAATATTTTACTTATACTTTGTTAAGTAAATGCCATCATTTTATTCTCTTTTTAAATCTATGTTGAGCCTGCTCTCATTAAAACTATATATATATACTATGTTATGTTGCAAAGCTGAATAATTTTAATTTTAAGTTAGACAAACTGAACAAGCTTAAAACCAAGTGACTGCTGAATTTACACAACAGACTTCACCATACTACCTGATTAAAAAAAAGGTTTGATAGAAAATCCATTTTTTATCTGTACTAGTACTTTGCAACAATCTGCTGAGCATAATCCAGTTCATAAATTTAGGCTAAGCAAAGTAAATATACACTTACCTATTAGCCAGGGAAACCAATATTTGGACATCCTCCCATCTATCTGCATGTCCCAGGGATGCACAAAGAGACAGCAATTCAATTCTTCAGCAGCCTGCAGCAAAAGAAAAAGTCTAAATCTTGACTAATTATACCAAAACGCATCCTTTTTTCTTAGTCATGTTTTAAAATTACCTGCAAAACAGTACTGAGCAGTAGTACTAGTATGAAAATAAGTCCACCAGCAAGAACTATAAATAATAGTTGCTTATATTTACCACCCTGGGCCATAATCTGAAGTCCTTACTCAGTTTCAAAGTTCTTTCTGTGACCACAGATTGGAAATATAGATGATAATATCTTTTTAGTAAGCCAAGTGTTCCTCAGATTAATGCAGGACAAAAATGCTTTTCCAGCCATGTTTTTCAGCCATCCTGCAGTAAAAAAAACTCAGTTCAAGCAAAAACTCCTCTGGTTTCTTTATACATATGAGGATGAATTCTCATAATGTTTTATGGAACCATTTTAGGATGGTTTTGCAGAGTTGTTCCAGCTGTATTCAGGAATTTTCATGTGAGTTGCACTCCATTTGTCCCCTTTGGCTTTCTGCCTGGCTTTAAAAAAAAGTTAAAAATATTCCTAATCTCTCCTAAGAGTTCAAAATATGGCTGTATTCTGATCAGGAATCCATCTCTATGCAAGTATAATAATTTTTCCAAAATTTTTGACATCTTAGGGAAGGAAAACAGAAGAGCAATGACAGATGCTTACCCTAACTGAGTAATTTAACTATTTGCTTAAATTTAAATACATAATCATCAGTCATTCATATGCTTAACCAGGATTTAACAGCTTCGTTTTCTCACATGTATTTCTGGACCTCTTCTTGTTGCTAAGGAGATTATCACACATTTGAAAAAAAATTGGTTTTGTTTACCCATACATGCATAAATAAAGATGCAACTTTTGGGCTGTGGGGAGTAATTGCCATCTACATTTGTAAACTAAAAAGAGTGATTCGATTACTGTCTTGGTAGACTGACAGAGTTCACTGTCAAATGTGGCTTAATTTCCCAACCTGAATTACCCAGGGATGTTTCTAAAAATGATGGAGGTTACTTCCTACATGTGTGAAACACAAGCTGAAGAATTTACAGCGTAAGAGAGAGATCCCAGTGCACGAGGGGGATCTCAGCACCAGACATGGAGTTACTGGAGGGAGTCCAGAGATGATGAGGAGACCGAGCATCCCTCCTGGACAGAAGCGCTGAGGAGGGGGTTGGACCAGATGGCCTCCAGAGGCCCCTCCCAACATCAGCCATGCTAAGATTCCATCAATGTGGGCATCTACATCTGATAACTGACTGTATATGTGCATAAAACCAAACAGTCCAGGTGCTGCACTAACAGAATTCTTAGATAAATTGAGCAATCTGAAATATAACCTCTGTGGCTCAGTGTTCAGCAGACAGCTCTAATAACTTGTGAAACAGATGCAGAATGTATATTGATTAAGTCTGTAATTTAGACAAATGACCATCCTCATCTGGACCTCAGGCTATTTAAGAAATTCAATCTAAAAATTCGTTTTATAATCAATGCATTGT